TACTACGCCGTACGGCTCGATCGAGTAGGCCACCCGGCACAGTCTAGCCACTGGACTGGATCAACCCGTTGTTAGTTTGAGAAAGATCGACATGGTCGTCGTTGGCGACGGGCAGGCCGAGATGCTGGACCCCGGCCTTGAGCGTGCTATGGCGAATGGGTTGCTGCTTCGTGGGCGTCTCCCTAGCCTATGGGTGCCCGGTGCCCGGGCCGCGGGCTTGCGCTGGCGCTGGCGGCAGCGCCTCCGTGCAAGGCAGGCAACCCAACGCGCTCGCGGCTCCTGCTCCCCACCTCCTCCCGCTCCTTGAGCTCGCTGCCCCGCCGCGCCCCGACTCCCTGAACGGCATTGTCCGCGCGCCTTCAAGTGTGACCGGCTCCAGGAGGGGCAGGGTCCTCTGCGGAAGGCTCGTCCTGCAACCTCGCACGGACGGATGGGGCCCTTGGCAACAGCAGAGGGAGAGAGTGGCGAGGGAAGAGGGGTTGGGGGGGGGGGGCAACAAGTCCGCACCACATATCTCTGCCCTCGCGTGAGGACTTGCAGCGTGCGGTACCACCTGCGTACAACCGCCACGCCCCGCAACGCCACGCCCGGGCCATACCAACACCGCGAAAACAATTAAACGTAACGATGGGTCGTTATACGCTTTCCCTGGGACCGGAATTATTATTAATAATAATAATATAATGAAAGCAACTCCCTCGGTGGCCATACGGCCCCGCGCGGCCCGCAGGGCCCATCCAGGATCCCGCCTGGCAGTTGGCCGAGGCCGAGAGAGAGAGGACCCCGTGGAGGAAACAATTATCGGGGTTCGCTGAGTGAACGTTTACCCCTTCGTTCTGCTCCCATTTCCCCGCCCACGCCGTGAGGGCAACGCCCAATTTCAGGCCGATCGATGACTGATCGTCGTCGCGTCCCGCCACTCTGAGAAAAAAAAAATCTTTTTCTGGCATTTCCTTTGCATCCAGATGTCTGCGCAAGACCACACACCAGCCAACAAGAGACCTACTCTTATCCCTATAAAAATCGCCTCGCGGCCGCATTGGAAACAATGTCCATAACTAAATCGGGCAACACATCGAATTGATATTACCTGCACCCACACAGAAGTGTTTTTATTTTAATCAAGCAAAGAACTTTTCTTGAGTAGTTTCTCCCCTGGGTAACACATTGTTTACTTGCCAAAAAATTACCGTCTCTATTTCAAGCATAGAAACACTCTCTTACAATAACACGAAAATAATACTTGGAATTTAGAAAAAATTCTCGGCGTGCGTGGAAACTGGGTTAAGCGTCCGTACTCCATTAGTGAACGTGTACAGTCCACCCACACTTCCGTGTGTGTCGTGTTGTCAGCCATTTCGAGCCGCACGCGACACTGTCCCTCCCCCTCCCTCCCGCACCTCGATGCACCTTCAGCCCGCGTGCTCATTGATTGGTCCGAGCAGAAGGGTGGATCAAGGCGTAATGAGGAAAGGGGCAATAGACGATAATTATTGCCCAAGTAGGCAGAGGGTAGTTGGGTGGACGGGCATATCCAATGCGGTTAGGATGCCACCCAACAGGAAGGGAATCCCTCATACTCAGCGCACAGCGTTGCACAACTACTCCCAACTCCCGTGCTGGCCAGCCGCTGGGGCCGGGCCGGGCACTGACCTACTCCGCTGACCAGTCGATAAGCAACCCCCAGAAAGCACCCGGAGTTGTGGGAGATCTGGACTCGGCGGCGAGCGGGCGGCAGGTCGAGTTACAGGTCAGGGTGGAGAGAGAGAGGGGGGGGGGGGCAATGGGGGCAGCGCCAAAGTGTAGCGGGGCAAAGCGAGGGGTTAGTGGGGCACGGGCACGAAGGGTCGAGGAGGACAGGACCGGCAGGCATGGCGATGGTGATACACCAAAAAACTTAACTGGTGTTCTGCTTCATTTTAATACATCTTTTTCGTTTACTTAATTTTCTCACGAGCATTTAGCTTGTTTTGGGAAACGGTTCACTTGCTACAAGCTTGAGAAAATCAAGTACACGAAAATGTAACTTACTAGTATCCAGAACAGAGACAATTTTTAGAGGGGGGAAGGGGAAGGCTATTGAGCTTGCAAGAAATCCATCGCATACGACATTTAGTCAAACATACCCTGAGCAACCCTTATGAGAATGCAGGACGCGCCCGAGAGCATCGAGATGCCCGGTCCCTGCTGCTTCTTTTCCAGACGGTTAGACCACTGCGCTCGCGTCCTCAGCTTGACACAGCAAGAGGAGCTGACAGCGCCCGCACTCACCTCCGCCGCTGTTGTCTGTGAAGCAGTCCGCAGGGAGCACCCCCCGTCAACCAACAAGTGCTCGTTTCGTCGCGGTGCTTGGGCGGCCCGTCGCGCGCACCGGGGCTCCTGGTTGCGTCCTGGCGACTGGAAGGCGCCGCGGCGCGCAGGCACCACAGCTACCGCTCCGGGCGTGGGTGGGAGGCGGCCGCCAAACCCAGCCCAGAGGAGGCCCCGCGGGAGGAGTCTGCGGTCCTGGCGGCGCCGGGTGCGACGGGGCGCGACGCGGTGTGCAGCCTGCCCTGCTGCCGCCCTGCTGCCGCCCTGCTGCCGCCCTGCCCGGCCCGGCGCGCTCGACTCGACAGGAGCGCGTCTCCCCCGGCCTGCAGGCCCACCGCGCGGTGTGGCCGCGGAGCCGCGGAGCCGCGGAGCATCGACCGGAACACCCCGGCGGGCGCGGGCGGGCTCTCGCCGCCTCGCCGCCGCGTCTGCCGCCGCGTCTGCCGCAGGCGCCGAGGCTGCCGTCACACCAAGCAGACGCCGCCACGCCATCCTCGCGCCTGCCGTCACACCGAGCAACACCGAGCAGCCGCCGCAACGCGGTGCCACCCCCTCGCTGCTTCCACATTAACAGCCGAGCCAGGTGCTCCGTGGACTTCTTGGAGGGTGCGCTTGAAGACGAGCTTCACCGGGGGGGTCCACGTAGAACGATGCTCCAAATACATTACTCACCAAATGTTCCATGCCAGCGCAACGGCATCCATGGGGCCCGGGCGGGCGGACACCCTCGTCGTGGCGGTGGCAAGGAGGTGCAGCAGGGTGAGTGCAGAATCGTGTGCGCCGCTGCAGCACCCACCTCTCGTCCGCGAGAGTGCAAGCAGAGGGATGAGTAACGAGAGCGCTGCGGTCGCCGCACGTCGCCACCGCCTGGTGGGTAGGCCATCTCCTCTGCCGCGCACACGCGTGCAGTGCTGGCTGGCCTACCTCGCCTCTCACGGGCGCTTCGGCGTCACGTCTGTCTCTGTCGATACTACGTCGTCGGTCCGGTCCAGGCGGCGCGCTCCCTTCGCCATCCGTCGGCTATGCGCGGGCCCAGCCTTGCCGCCGCCACCGAATGACCTCACTGACCCTAGCTTATAAAATATGTCCATCATGTTTTAAACATATTTATTTATTGTAAGTTTCCCTGCTCACAAAGTTCTTGTAGACTTGAGCGCTCGAGCGCTGGGCTCGGATCAAGCTGGGAAGGAAAAATAGCTCCTTTAAGAGCTTTGCTTTCTCTGCAAGAATTAACATCAATTATGAAGGCTGGAGACATATAATGCATAAGAGTGTTCACTGAGAAAAGATTACTTGCAGCTGTTTTAGAA